TGAAACTCTCGCCCAAAATATATCAATATTATATTAATATATACACTAAAATAAAAATAACTTTACTTTCATAAATGAGATCAAAAATGTAATTCCAAATGAAAATATCCTTATTAATTTGAGACAGCGTTAAGACAAATTTATATTTAGCGATTACACATGCAGAGCTTGCTATTTTAATTTTTCCCACTTTCATTTTATTATGTTTCACTTTTTTCCATTTTAGGAATGATTTGGAAGTTATTATAATTTTTTAACCAATTTTATTGAAATGATTTGTGGGTGTGCTAATAAGATTTTTATTCTCTTGTGTTCCACTTTCATTTCCATTTAGTACTTGTAGTTATTATATTGAATTAAATTATATTTAAAGCGCTTTTCCCTAGCCATACAATTATGTCATCCTACTATTTCACCTTCTACACCATTACAGAGTACTAATTCTTTTCTTTCACTCTACTTACTATAATCTTCCATCTTATTGAGTATTTTTTGGTTCTCTTTTTACTTAGTTTCAAATTTCTCAATTCATTTCCACACTTGTATACAAAAGTAGAATAGAATCTTCACATCCTTATTTTAAGGGACCGTGTCAACTTCTGAGGGTTCACCATTGCACATAGAATGGATATCTTCGGTGTTGTGTGTTTTGAATTTTGTCTCGTATAAGACTTTTAGATTTCCGATTTTCATGTCAACAATACGTAAATGAAAGAGTTACTTTAAATGCATTAGTTTGGGTTATAATATTATTGTTTTATCCTACATCAATTATATCTTCAAAAGACACTAAGGTTTATTAGGATGTGATATTTTCCAATATATAATTCTACAACGTGTGCACGTGGCCTTTTGAAAAAGTAGATACTTTGATTCATACTAAGAAAACGTCAAAGATTTGTATTACAATACATGTCTGAGTATTTCAGGTTTGGAGCTCAGTAATATATGTAATTAAGATAATTGAGTATGAAGAATATAAATATAATAGATATGTTACTGGAAAAGTTATGCGTGTAAGCTTGTATATTCTCTGTTATAGACTTATATATGGTATAATCCATATAATTTATGAAAAATTGAGGTTTCAAGTATAGTGATATTATTAAATTTATATGGGTGCAGTTTTATAATTGAAAAATGAATATCATAGGCTAAGCAATTCTATTATAGCTCAACAATATCATTGAGAAATTTGTGGGTCAGAGCTATTTAACACAACTTACCTTTATTTTGAACATTGACTTATAGAGTTAAATGAACTCAACAGGGGTGGCCCTAAGGGAGATCAAAGGCCCTAATCCCTAAACAATGAAAAAAGTTATACCCATGATAAGTTTCTTTATAATAAGTGTGAGTAGGCTGATTTTTCAATCCTAAACTAATAACTTATTGGGTGAATATTTTTAGGTTCTTCTGGGTGAATTTTTTTTAATGAATGTTTATGAAAACGTTCTCTATGAAGTATAAATTATGTCCTCAATTTTAGTTTAAAATTCCATCTATAAGTCAATTAAATAAATTATTTAATACTGTTGTGTTTTTATGCATATTTTGGTGCAGTATTTTCTATAATTTCTTTAACTGATTTTCTGATTGAATTTTAAGATGAAGTTCTGTAGATACAATCTAAATTTGATGACAATCATGCTCACAAAATTTTGTAAAAAGAAATCCACTTGGAAGCAGATTTGTCATATACGATTGTTTGATTGGTTTATTAACCGATTTCATTCGTGCTTAATTGTTTGATTTTTTAATTTTTGATTGTTATATATTAATTGTTGTTGTTTTAATTTGTTGATTTTGTTAGACAAAACGTTTTTACTATAATCAAATTTATAAATTTATTTAATTTCAAGGTGTAATAGAAATGATTGAATCTGAAGAGGATAAAGAAAAGAGAAAGGAGATGATTAGAGAAAGCGGTACTAAGTAAAAAAAAATTGAATGGAAAAGTTTGTGTAAGGAAGCCAAATTATGAATGTCCTCCTGAAGATGAGAACTCAGAAAAGAAGAATGATTTAACTCAGAATGAAACGCCTCAGAGTGATCACATCATTGGTGGGAGAATTTTAGGAGTTGATAATAACTGAGTTAATTCCTTAAAATAGGACTAACACATGGGTAAAGTGCACAAATATGACCACCATTTTTTCATTCCTAATTAAGAACAACCAATATTATAATATTATTGGTTTAGACAGAAGATAGTTTTAATCCTTCTTATAAATGTATTGAAATGTTATTTTTATTGTGCATGTTATTAGTGTTATTAGTTTAGACATAAAATTAATTTACATTTTCTTAAGATTAGGCCCATTTCAATTCTTCGCTCCTAGGTCTTCAATCATAGACGACCGGCCCTGAAACTCAGTGCATAAATTCATACATGAATAAAATTCATATTAATGATTTTGAATTGTTTTTAAGATTTTTTTTCTCAATTAGATCGTTATCAATAAATTGTCTTTTGAGGTTTCCTGTATAATTTTTTTAAATCCATTTTTGCATTTTAGCACCAAATTAATCATGTGTCATTACCTCAATTTTTTGTGACAAAAAATTTACTCATGAGTACTTTTAAAATATGAATGATTAACTTCATGATAAGCTTATTTATTTTTGTATATATATCTCACTTCTTCTTGTATAGTGATTATATAACTCCATAGTAAGGTAACATTATTTACTCCAAATTTTACTCATGAATACTTTCAGGAGATTTATTGAATTCTAATCTAATATATATAGAGTTCTAAATTTTAGGAAGAACTCCATTAAAAACGTTTTTAATTGGACCGATTTTTTGTCAGATTTGTCTATTTTGATCGGATCTGGTTTGATCTGTATGGTTTGATCAGGTCAGGTCATTTTTAACTTTTATTTTGCCAAACAGATTTATCTCATCCAAGTAACGGTTTAGATACAACAATTCAAAATGCAACTCTAGACAATAATCTCTAGTTAAGATAATACTACGTAGAATTTAATTCAAACATTAGTTTCCACCTACATTTCAAAGTACATTGAGAATTGAAACTGAGAGCTCCTTTAAGAGAGAGGGAGTCGGCGTCCAGCTAGGCTGTACCACTTCCTCGAAGGGAGTAGCTTTTTATCACGCATAATATATCACACCATATATGTATTACAAAGAATTACTCATACCATTATTTTTAAAAATTTAAAGATGCAATTATAAATAGAGGAAATTTTGTCGTGTTCAATTAGAATTCATCGGGGGCCAACAAAATAAAATATCATATTTATTTTAATGTGCTATAACTTGTCTATTTGTAATACAATTGTTATAAAAAATATATCAAAATTTATAACTTTTTGTTATCTTTTATATGTCACCAATATTGAATATATAAAAATAAAAAATAATTTTACACTTAAAAGCTTCAGTTTTTTAAGTGTTAGTTTTTTTATTTATCAACGATTGTTACAAAAAATATATTAGAATTCCTGAAATTTTATTATTTTTCATATGACATCAATGTTGCATATATAAAAAAATCTATTAATTTGTGCAGTTAATGATCTTTTTTATCATGCACACTATTAATCGGAGTGATAGCTTAGAATAAAATTGCGCATATTCTACCGCAAAGAATAAAATAATAAATAAAAATGATGGAGTTTGTGTGGTTTTATTCTAAGGTATCAGTCCTCATTAATTGTGTGTACGGTAAAAAATGATCTAAATTGCCAAAAATTAATAGAATTATTTTTTATTATTTTTATATATGCATGCAATATTGGTGTGATATGAAAGATAATAAAAAGTTATGAATTTTGATAAATGTTTTGTAACAATCGGATTACAAATAAAAACAATATACTCCGTATCACATTAAAATAAATATGGGATTTTAGTTTTTAAATTACATACCTTTAGAAAGTTTTTATTAGGTAGGATTCCAATAGAAGAGTATTAACGTAACATTAGTTCTACCATAACTGAAATTACGTAAAATTAATGTAACCTAAGTATATAATTAGTAAAATTTGCTTAGAAGATGATACATGGCAAACTTTCTCTAATTTTATTATTTGAATTGTATTATTTATAGATAGATATATGTATAGATATAGATATGAGATTTTATTTTTTAAATTACCAAGCTTTAGGAAGTTTGCTAAATGAACGTGACATACTGACATGAGTTCAAATCTACCTTTAATAATACTAATTTTACGTAAAAATAATTTTACGGAAGTATACTTTATTTACTAAATTGGAAAGAAAATATAAAATATTATAATGAAAGTTTTCTTAGAAAATAACAAATGGCAAAAAAATTCATAATTTTATCTCTCAAATGTATTATCTATATATTATAGATTTTTTTAAAAAAATAGATATTTCTTAAAGGGTTATATTTTTTTCAAAATAGATATATAAAAAAGTGTTAAATTATTTTTTTATTTTTATATATTGAATATTGGTTTCATATGAAAGATAATAAAAAGTTATAAATTATGGTGTATTTTTTGTAACCATCAAAGTACAAATTAAAAAGTTATAGCACTTTAAAATTAATATGAGATTTTATTTTGTAAATTACCTAGCTTAGGAAGTATGCTAAACGTAACATGATGAGTTCAAATCAACTTTTAATACTAATTTTACGGAAGTATTTTACGGAAGTATACTTTATTTACTAAATTAAAAAGAAAATCTAAAATATTATAATGAAAGTTTGCTTATAAGATGACACATGGCAAAACTTTCCATAATTGTATCTTTGAAATGTATTATCTATAGATTCCTAAGGAGATAAATACTTCGGCTATACTACAACTGAGAAATGCGCTGCATGGCCGGATGAAAACATTCCAACAATATCTTATACCTCCAATATTTTCCCCTACTTTTGTATAATAATAATTCAAAAAAAGGACCACTGATAAAGTGATAATCAAGTGGGAATAGACCGTGCCCAGTATCACCCGGTACCGGTTTTAGTTCTAGGGACAGGACAAGTACCAGCCCGAAATCCACTAATTTTTTAATGCAGAATGAATTTAATTATATCTTATCACGTACATACAAAAATGAAGTTGTAATACACTATCGTATATGGTATAGTATCATAATGATTTACAAAGCCACAATTCACTCAAAGAACTTTGTTTTTGACTTGTAACATTTTTTTTACATCTCTGAGACCTAGCACAAACTTTTGTACATCTTACAGAAGAAGGAAATTCCCAATGCATCTATTTGACTTTAAGATGATCCTGTTAAGCAGCTCTCTATCATCACAGCTGCAGCTCAGTTATGCCTACACATACACTGATCCTTGTCATACATCCTTCTTTGCATCGGCAGATATACAACACTCACAGCGTCAGTCACGTGTTAATAAGTTATGGCATAGTGAAATCACTTGTTAGAATACAGATTACACTGTCGGTCGCATGTTATACTAATCTCACATGTTATAGTCAGGTCACATGTATACTATTATCCCAAATCATGAAATTCCTTCTCAAGTGAGCTAAACATGATCAGCAGACGCTTTTTCAGATTGGATTCGATGTTTTTTTGCATTCTTTTCTGATGTTTAGCATTTTTCAACCACGTCATTCCAAACTGAACAGAAACACTGCATCCTACTGATCTTGAGGGCAGATCCTCGACTACATATTTAAGGTGAAGCTGCAGAAAAAGGAGTGTTCACCAACAAGTCATGAGAAGAAGCTAAGAAGCATTTTTACAAAATGCATTGTATTTGAATGGAGAATTTCTACTCATAATCAATCCTTTAACTATTGTGGCAACATCGCTGTTGATACCCATATTCGGATTTCTCCGCTTTTAGTCCTCGTACTAATGTGAAAGAGACACTTTACGGATCTGCTTCTGAATTTTTCAACTTTAATCCTTTTACTACTGTGGTAATTGGTCCACTAACTTCTATGACAGCAACACTTTTGGAGAGAGTTTGCAATAGCTTAAAAAAAGGCGCTTCTCGGTTTTTGGCTTAAAAAGCTAAAATTAGTGTTTTCAAATGACAATTTCTACTTAAAAAGCGTTTCTCGGCTTTCATGTGAAAAGTGCTTTTTACTCTTTCTATTACACAAAAAGCACTTATTTTACCAAACACTACCAACTTTTACTTTTCAAAATCACTTTTTTCCCAAACACTATCAACTTTTACTACTAATCACTTTTTCCAAAATCACTTCCAAAAGTGTTTTTTTTAAGCAAAAGCAGTTGCAAACACTCCCTTGGTCCTCTAACTATTAAGGAAAGGTAAGAGGGTACCAAAAATGCCTATCACAATAGTTGATGGGCCAAAAGTGAAAAAAATTAAAGATGAGTACTAAAAGTGTCATCACCACAATAGCCAAAACTCCAAAGACTAAAGAGGGAAAAACTATATACGAATGAAATTATGAGACAACCAACAAATGGGATAGAATGCACATACAGTAAAATAGTCTCCTAGAGGGACCCCATGAAGTGTCATCACTTCTTCTACAAGCCACCCATTTTTCTCAGGCAGGTGAAGTTTCTGCTGTGTGCTAGTAACCTCACCCCCATAACGGGATACACATGTATCAAATTTGTAATAAAGGTGCCTCTGATAAACATCACTCTTTTCAGATTCCCAGTTGCTAGGAGAATAACTAAGGCATCCAGCTCTCTCCATAATTTTCCGCTCAACCTCATTCCCACCGAATAATTGCATATAAAAATCAGTCTGTAAATGAATACAAAAGAGAACAAGAAAACAAAGTTATTGGTGAGAAAGAAAGGTTCATAGCTCATATATTTGGCATTTACAATAGTTTCGAAAAGAAACTTCGGTAAAATGAGTATGATGACACATCTAGCATTTTTTTGTTAATTTAATAGTAAAATCAAGATATCTGCCCCAATGCCCCATATATAATTACACAGGGATGAAATTAGGTAACAAAACGAGATATATGCATGCCTTAAGGTAAAAAGGGACAAAACCAAGTATTAAGATTTTAGAGTTTTTTCCTAAAAGGTGGAGTATGTAAGATCTCATATACTCCATTAGTTTTTTTATTTCGTATTTAGCTGATGTGGGAGAAATGCTTCAACATCCAGAGATTTATGAACACTCACAGGAACTGAGAGTGCAGACGAATAAACAGTGGACATGCTCAAATCTTCATCTCCGAAAAACAATCCGCTCTCGTCACTCTGTAAGCTTTTTCCTTCATTCTCTTCGTCCATAACTTGTATGTTTTTGGCTAAAGACTCCTCTTCTGTTACTTGTAGTGTCTTAGCCTCTGATTCTTCAACTATTTGTACTTTCTGCTCAGGGGTTAATGCTCTTGCTTTCCACAATGCCTTTATTGTCCTACAAACAGCCAAAATGATATTCTGAATTTTTTAACAACTGACTCATTACAACTCTTATGGATCATTAATTAGCTGAAGTCACAAGTATCATGAAACATGTCTCTTATTTACAGTATAAAGTTTCAATTTGCAAATTCATATGTATATTATGTAAGAGGTTAAAAAGAACCTTAGTTTCATTTCTTCTAGAACTATAAGAAACACTCAAGAGGAGAAAACAAGAATTATTGTTGATTGCGCTGAATGATCATTCATATACTATAGTTAAAACCTAATAAAAAAGGGATATGTGAAAATTACATTCTCGCCCTATGTTCACAAACAAGAAACAAAAAATCCGAAACAGCGAAGTAAGAGAGTTATGTGCCAAAATCACGTATAACCATGATTACTAATTTTTTCAAGAAACATGACATCAGATAAGATGATATGTTTCAGCAAGTTTAGCCAGGTAGGAAATAATTATGTAAAACCAATATGTTCCACTTTCACAAAACAACAAATACGTCTTCCTTACACTATCAAAGTACGGGTTTATCAAAAGAAAAAGAGAAGAATATACCCTTGAGCTATATTTCTGAAAAGATATGTACTCATCGCTTTGTGGAACAATTAACAATATATCAAAGACATATATACCCCTAAACTATTTGGATCTAAGAGCATATTCTTCCAATTGTACACCTTTTGTGTTTATTTGTGTATGTCTCAGGAGCATATATGTTCCTTCTCCAAAAGAAAAACTGGCAAATCAGCTAATACATAACTCAAAGTATATAAATAAGCAAACGACAATTCACAGTTTTAGCAGTGAAAAAGAGCTTGCTTCTTATCTTGTTGTTGGTATTACAGATGTGTGGAGTCTTTTAAAACAATCTAGGTGTGTCTAAGAGAGTATGTGTGTGTGTGATTTGTGTCTATGGTGAACTGAATGTTGAATGAGATATATTATATGAAACAAAGTTTAAGTTAGTCAACAGTATATTACCTATGTGCTACATTGAAAGAAACAAAAGTTTGAAAGTGGAACTTTAGCCTGCTGTCTTCATCCTGAGTCTTAGCGCCATGTCTTGCATCAAATCCTTTGTGAGGCTTAAGTGTCATTACAAGAATAGGGCTGCCCATTGATGACAACGTGGGGGGAATGACTTGAATGTCTTCTATGTCTTCCCAAAGAAAGAAAAATTTTGTCTTGTGTCCAAAGAGATCTGCATGAAACCCAACTATCCTTGGAGACAAAAATACGCGACCCTGCTCAAAGGCAATTACAATTCAAGGAGATGGTTGACATTAAGCCAATAGACAAAAATAATACTCAATCAGAAATTGTATATAATCCTATAGTCATAATTAACGCAATTCATTGAGAGTAGAAAATACCAGTTATAACTACCTGAAGGGGCATTCTGCGCTTCAAGTGACAAGTGAAGTCGTTAATCAGAAATTCCTCAGGTGGAAGTCCGAAAAGTTTTTGGAATGCTGAATTTGTTTGAGGGGATCTTAATCTTATCTATAAAACATTTGATAAGAAAATAATAAGTTCAAGGAAGGAGACTATGGAAAAAGGAAAATCATTTCAGAGGAAAAAGAAAACCATTTGGGTGTATACCTTCTTCCCGACTTCTTTCTCCATCTTGGACAAATAATTTATGGCAAGGTTGTTACCTTTCGTATTATTCAAGAAAATTCTTAAATGCAACTTAGACTGACAGGCTTGAGCCAACTTCCCATGAAGGGGAACCAAGACATCAGACAAATCGGATATTTTAGTTTTTAGAAAATTAATTTCAGCACGTCCAAGAGATGTGGCTTCATCAAAAGGACCATCAAAATCGAAAACCTCCACAACCAGTACAGAAGGCGGCTCATCCATTGCATCAAACTCAAAGATTTCTGTAGGTGAGGAAAATTAAAATATAACAACTATAGTCAAATTTAGTATAAGCACTTCCAGAAAAATTGATAGGTTAAACAAATAACTACAATACCAATATACCATTCCACTTGGGATCTGAACTTTGGAACTTAATCGAGCTGGTTCTTGTTTTTCCATTGCAACTGAAAACAACATATGGATCAGAAAACCCGCTTGAGTCAACAGCTGCCAAACTATGTCCTTCAAGCAACACCGCAGTCAGCAACCAGCCATCTCCTTGTGCTTTCACTCCATGGTCACCACCTTTGGCTAATACATTCAATGATTCAAAGTTAATGAAACATATCATACGACAAAACACATGGATAATACAGAGAGTAATAAAAACTTTTTAATGAGGTCATAAAAAAGAAATAGGATGGCAATGGATAGTCAACAAAGTGGGCCTTACTCAACTGGGTCATAAGACACTTGGACCAAACTACACGAAAGTTTGAATCCAATCTATTAGTTAGTCCAAAGTCAAAACCATTGTCTTATTAACTCGTGATTCTCTATAATTTTCTGATTTGAGATATTTATTTTTGTGCAACAAAAAGACGATGTGAGACTATAACATATAGCAATAATGTCTCTCACACACATTACATAACTGAAACACACGCTTGCACAAGCTTTCAGATTTCCCAACTCCATAAAACACCTTTTACTCTTTATATAAAAAAGCTGCTTTATTCGTACCGTTTTGTCCTCTTGCCTGAATAAAACGTGACATTAGCTCCAGGACCCTTTTCCCTTGCAGTACCAGTACTCCACAGACAATCAATTCACCAATAGAGTCAGGCAAGTCAAGCCCAGCAAACTCAAGCCCTTGAATTGTGCTAGGCGTTGCTAGCAAGATGTGCACAGCCACATACAACCCAATGATAAAAGTTGATATTACGGTAAAATTGGCAAAGTACTTAACAGCCAGTTTCCAAACAGACTGTTGCTCTGCTTGCAGGGAAGCCAATGCCTGATCCTTCTCAGAAGAAAACTCTTTTTCATCTACTGGTTTTACATTCTGAGACAATAAACTTGCATATTGCTCAAAGCTTTCCTTTATACCTTGCTTTGCTCCATTCTCTATTAAACCTTTCATCATAGTACTCTGAGAAAAGTTCATCCGCCATGAGACTACCAGTCTTGAGGTCTTTTCTCCTGAAGGCAGATCGGGCCCACCAGTGATGCAGAAAAGAGTTTCAGTTTTAAAAGTGTTACCATATGGAGCATCTGGAGTGCTTACAGTGACAAATACTGCATATGTCTTCCCATCAGCCTTCACATAAGTTTGCTCCTCTATTGCTTTCAAAGCCTTGACCAATCTACTTGCAGCCTTAGTAGCAGTGACTACTCTCTTTAAACTTGTACCATCATTCTCAAACTTCCAAGGTCCCACTTTCAAGTCTGTGGATCCCTGGAAATCTACTAAAGACTTCAGAAAGTTTGAGTCTGGTGAATAGAGCAGTGAATTCAATTCATGTGGAGCAACAGCATATAACTGGTCTAAAACTATTCCTGGTAAATAACTAGGAACTTCACTGCCTTGATCTCTCATCTCCATGGATCTCATCATTTCTTCGAAATTGACTGGTGAAGACTGCTCCTCTTGTGCATCCTCATTATCCTCTATACTCACACTATCAGACAATTCAGTTGAATCTGTGAATTTCACATAGGTTGTGGATGGTCCATCAGAATTTTTGTTAAAAATCTGATAGAACCGACCAGCCAAGGTTTGTGTGTGTGACTTTTCTTCCTTTGAACAGATAGTTTCTTCTGACTTTATCGGGGAAAGTGATCTCACAGTGGAATTGGAGGACCTGGCTGGGGATCCACTTGGCGTATCATCATACTTCTTTGGTAATGTAGCAGGATCACTTCTGGATTGCAAGTCTGCCGAAATGTTGTTTAGCGAGAAACTTATAGTGAGAAAAATTTGTCCTGCCAGAATATAAGAGCACAATTAAACTCCATTGAAAACTCGAGGCAAGGTCTTCATTTGTTTTTTTGGAATACAAATGTAGAATCTCAAATAAAAATTTGGAAAATGTCAATAAATATTTTGAAAGACTAACATTTCGAAAAATAATCGCAACACGCATCTGAAATTTTGGTAATATCATTTTGTTTTCTTGAAAAAACATAAGAACTTGGTTTTTATCCCTAAACGTTTCCCATATCAATATCTATACTCAAATATCCGCCAATGTTTTCAGAAATTCAAAGTATTGATATTTCCATAAATATGAATATGTGTATCATTGGTTACTTTTTCTCATCCTTGATAGCATAAACTGTATTGTGTACCATAGATCATAGTGGTTTGCGGGGTCATACACACAATGGAATTGAAAGTAAACAATCAGTTACTTTGACCTATTTGACATTTCCATAAATATCAACAGTTGTATCCTTGCTACTTCCCCTTCCTCGATAGCATGATTGTACTGTGTATCAAGGACCAAGCTGGCGGCAGGAAGGGGGCATACACAGTGGAATTAAAAGTAAACATTTAGTTGGCTAAAGGTGTTGGGTTGTGTACAAAGCACAGAACCGGTTTTTGAACACACTGTGGCATCAATAGTCCTGAAATTAAAAAAAAAAAGACACCTACAACAATCACTTAAAAGATAGTATAAGAAACAACTTACCACAATCCCTATTCTTATCCTTTTTACTCTTTGGGTGTAATGAGTACCAAGAAGTGCCGAGCGACTTATCTGGTGCTTCAAAAACACGAGAAATGGGGATTTTAATTTGACCAATGAAATCATCATTGAAGTACTTATCTTCATCCAGAACAGCGATGACCAGTTCTTCCTTGAGATCTTCCACCCGAAAGGTGAACTCATCACACCATGACGGATTCAAACATTTCTTCACCACTTTGGTCCTGAACCTCTGCTTCCCAACCTGCAACTTCACATAGGGATCACTGAACCCATTTGGGTCCATTGCAGGTATATTTCGTGCCTCTATCACTCGCACTACAAGTTTCATTTTTGGGCCAAGAAGAACTTACAATAGATGAACCTTATCTTTTTAGCTTCAATGAAGGTAAAAGCTGAACCAAGATCAACCCCTTTAATCGGATAAGTAACAGAGATATGGTCAACAACTCTAAACAAACATAATTAACTATGAGCACGGGTTTGTCTCACCCAGAAGCAAGCAAATTTGTGTCAAACTCGCAGTGAGGATATGAACATTTTGACTTTTTTCAAGGGGTTTGACTTGTAAAACTAGATTTCTGATACCAATAAATACTCAACTAACATTATCCAAAGTTTCGGTTTTGAGTTTAGATCCCCTCTTATGTATGCTCAAAGTCTCCGCCTTATGCATATACATATATAGAAATAGAAAAGCAGAGCAGTCAAAATTTGAAGGAATGATTCATGTTAGGGGAAAAAACTGGAGATTGCTCACGAAACTTAAAAACAGTAGATAAAGATCAGAATAGAAATAAAGCTTTAAATATCAAGCTCCCCTCAATTGACTGGATTTTAATCGCTTCTTGACTGAGACCCAGATCAGCTGAAAGGTGAAGAAAGTGTGAACGAGCAAAGGAATGAAAAGAGGAGGAAATTCTACTGTAATTACAGAGTAAGATCAGCTCAAAAAGTACATAGACTTTTTCTAAATATGGCGGTTTTCAAATGTAATGCGCGTCTGGGCGTTTGTAATTGGACCTTGTTTATTGTAAGAGACGACAGAGGGATGAAGGCACTTCTGCACTTTCATTCCCTAGAAAATAAATTTGGGAAAATTCTTCAAATACAATAAAAACGTTTTGTGATTTCGAAATATGGCCATTATTTTTTTTTAGGAAAAACTGGTCCTCGAACTTTCATAAAAAGGTCAAATAAGTCCTTATATAGGAGGCTCTGTCCGACAGCCGCGATTTGGGGCGGCTTCCATTGGAATTTTTTTATGAAAGTTTTTCAAATTGGAAGTTTTTATGAAAGTTTTTCAACATCTTATTCATCAAGTCTAGTTTACTCATACCAAATTTCAGCTAAAACTTCAATCGGCAATGCATTCAAATTAATTCTTGAAGATAACTGTGCATTTAACTGCACAGTTATATTAGCCTCTAATCTATGGACTTGATTAGGCATGTTTTAAGATTCGGTCATGTGTTTCATTTTTATCAACGTAATTCATGTGTTTGAATTCCGTTATCACATGAGGGCTCTGACGTCATTAGAAATCGTCGGAGGAAGACGGTGAACAGTAACTCCAAATTTCAAAAGTGTCTAGAAAATTAAAAGAAAAATATCTGAAGATGCGCCTTAACAAGACGACTGTTAGACCATCTTTCTTTCTTTTTTTGTTTCCAACTACCCTTGTCATCGGAAAATCCAACGAAAAAGTGATATTAGCAAATTCATTTAAAAAACTAATCCGTAAAATACAGAGGCAAAGGTGGTTTGGAGGTCATCTTGATGAGGCACACTTTCCGGTATTTGTTTTAATTTTCCGAGCACTTTGAAAATCGGATGGAGTTATTGTTTGTCATCTTCCTCAGGGGCGTTTGTCAGAGCTTTTTTGCAATATTTCTTCGTCTGAAAGTTCTCTCTATTTTTCTCAGCTGAGACCTCAATTTATACGTGTGGGTGGGATGAGATATGCATCAGGGTTCTAAAAATTTGTCCATATCTCTTGTGCTTCAATTGGAATGGATTTTGCCCTCTATTTACTTGTATTTTCATAGTTAGAAAAATCGGCATTTGTGTAATGATTTAGACAAATTTTGTACCAAGTTTCATAGCTATTTAGGCCGGAGTATATTTTAGGCCGGCCACTATTTAATAGAGGCTCAGAAAAAGAGTTCCAGTTCACTGTTTTATAAAAAAAAAATTGATATTTTTAAATGGTCCAAATTAATCTACGATTAAAAAAATGGTCCAAATTAATCTAATCATTAAATTCCATCTCAAGGGACGCATATCACTATCTTCTTTTTATTATATGATGACCCAACAACCATCATGAATAGCCTAATATGGTTGAAATTAGTCCAATAACATTTAAAAGATCAATCCATTAACGTTGTGAAGAGTGTGGTAACCTTTAAATGAGGCCCAATAATTTTTTAAATGTCCGTAATAGTCCTCTCTTATCTCTATCGAAAATCCCAATACGAGATTGATGATAATGCATGTTAATGTACTTGTGTACAAGTATTTCTCGTAAAAAATGTTCATTATAAAAGTATAATTTGTGAAAATTGGGGTGGACACCGGAAGACTGGACGTGCAAATCAAGTTCTATTGGAATTCACTTTTAACATGAAGCCTTTTGTGTGCTATGTTTGGCACACACAAAAGGCTCTAGCTTCCAGCTTCTCTATTCTTTAAAAAGATCTTAACAGCTTGTAAATTAGTTCGGGTGTAGTACACAAAAGGCAAAACATTTTTTAAAAGCTTTTAAAAAATTAAAAGATCTTTTTTGAGATACTACCGGGTGTAGTATCTGAGAAAAGCTCGTGACTTTTAGTATTAATTAGTCCTAACAGCTTGTATACCAAACCGAACTAAATCAAACAGTCAGCTTTTTACCAAACAGCTATCACCTTTTCTTTTTAAGATATTTTCAGTCACTAAAAGCTAACAGTTACTAAAAGGTTCGTAAAAGTATCTTTTTAGCTAGTTGTGTCAAACATACTCATATCCATTCGAATTGATAAACGAGAGGCATCTCATAAAACTCCATATATATTGATGACATCATTAACTTCTAAAATAAAATCCTCAAAATCTTCTCATTCTTTCATTTAAAGAAAATATGTTACATTAATTAATGGCATCCTTAATATGTTTAACCCGTCATAGATTCTAACATGTTTTGATTTCATTTTAATTATGTTAAGAGAATAGTTATTTGCCTCAAAATATATATAAACCTAAACAGACTACGATATTTTATACATACATTTTGTTTGATATCGAAACAACACTTTGATTTCTCTAAAACAGCCCAGACCGAGAATGCAAATTAGACTATTTTTCAATCTGAGGAGGTTATTTGTGTTGGTGCATGCTTTTGGCATTGGTGTTAATCTCATATGCAACATCGCTCGTTGTTGCTAGAGGTGGCCTCAGGGGAGGAGTACGCGGCATCGGCGGCAAGGGAGGAGCACACGGCGCTGGCGGCAATCATCATGTCTTCCCAAAGCCACATGGAAAGAATAGTTCATCATCTACTACGCCTTATGGTTGTCATATTAGTCATGTGCATCTTTTGTGCAACTTATTTTCTAAGAGGATAGGCTACTACATAGTTTTCAGTTTAGTAGTAATTCTATCGCCTTGCATGGTCTATCACTCTATCATATTGAATAATCGTATATGATCTCTGTTTATAAAATTGTTATTGTTTACTAAGCTAGCAAGTTTACACTATGTATATGTTACTCTGTATGTCATTTTAAGCGAATGAAAAAGTTGAACATCAATTCTTAGATGCACTTTTGCACATTATAGCAAATAAGTGTAATTGGATGTATTAAGGTAATCGTACAAATGTAAACACGTTATGTAGTTATGTAGTGAATAGAACAATATCCAAATTGTATTTCCAAAAGATTTCAGGGTCTAAGCATATATGAGTTATAATTACCCATACTGATTATAAAAGTAGCATGAAAGATTTAAAATTAAAGTTATCCTCAATTAACCTTATATATTGAAAATTACCAACGGAATTAATTTGGATCCTATTATTCAAGCGTGTAAATAGGAGTTTTCTCTCTAGGGTTTCGACTATGTCGGCCGTTGGAGACTTGGTCGCTGGTGCTCGGCTGGACTCCAGGTCAGACGCGAAGGGCGGAGATTGGTGGAGGGGGGCGGATTTGCTGTCATGGCTCGAGGAGATCTGCGTCGTGGTCAATGTTCGAGGATGCGGCGTTGCTGTCGTTGTTGGAGAAGATCGGCGCCACCTATCCGTTTACTTTGGTCGCACGGAGCAGGGATGAGTTTGGTTATGCAGGGACGGAGGATTGATGCATGGTCTTTGGCAGCCAAAGGCCTTGGAGGATCAATCAGCATGGTACCGGTGGTACGACCTCCTCCTGAACCACCACCATGGGATGTACGAGGTGCTAGAGTTCGTGAAAGTTTTTCTTGAAATTTTTGAAAGTTTTTCTTGTAATTTTTATATGTTTGTTATTTATTTTCTTGTGTTCACTTTTGTTGTTGGTTTTGACAGTTTGTTTGAATTTCTTGCCTCTCTTTATGTCATTGGGTATGGTTGGATCTATGGGAACATGTTTGGCTGTGTCAAGCCCACTACATGGTTAGCGATTCGTGTTGCACTCTCAGGGGTGACCGTCTCAAAGTCTCACCATAGGGTTACATGCATGCGTAGTTGTTGGAGTTTCAGTTGGTGTCAGTTTTATTTTCCCTTTACTTGATGTAATGATCCTGAATCTTTTGATATGAACAAAGGCCTGTTTTGATGATAAAAAACTTTATATATTGAAACAATTCAATGTGGTAGTCAGATATCTCCAATAGTTTCATTTGGGCACTTGTTTGCAATTTTCAAACTAATAGCTTACCATTGATGTAACATTGTTCTTCCTTTTGATTTGATTGAGAAAGCTAATTGATCAAAATGAGGTATTACCTTGAACAAAGAAAATTATCAAATACGTAATACGGAGTATAACATTATCAATAATAAACGAAGAGAAAATAGAAGTTACAGGTAACCATTTTGAATATATTTCAATTTTGGTGCAAATGATTACGGAGTATAACATTATCAATAATAAACGAAGAGAAAATAGAAGTCACGAAAGTAACTACCGTGATAAACATAGAAATTATGATATGAAAAGTTTCATTTCCTCACAAGAATACAATGGTGCTTCGATTAAGGGGTAAAAAACAAAATAACAATCATAATAAGATGATATTAACTTTCCAAAATTTTCTCTATTTTGAGTATAATCTAAATAACAAATTGATCCAAATAAGTCTAAAACTTGGATAGAGAGTACTGCACAAATAGTTAAGAGTAATCATGTTTTATTCCAAAAAGAGAACTTATTTAATCTTGTTAATTAAAAGTATAAACTTATTAGGAGTGAATAGTCCTAATTTAAAAACTGAGATAATGATGATGTCATTAGTACGGAGTGGTGGATGTGTTCAATTCAGGCGAAACTTATGTACTCCATAATAATTCATACTAAGCATATTATACTTTTTTAAATAGGATGTACAATATTTTAGTGATAAAGTAATTTTGAACCCTCCACATTTAGTCGCAAGACTGCCAGTGTTTGTGTACTCATTACTCCGTATATTTTTATAATCAAATTTAAGGAATATTCTCAATCTAAATTACGCACTTAATTTATTTAATCAGGGGAAAACAAGTTTTCAAGTCCTAATTAGAAATGGGAGCTGCTATAATGCATCAACTGTCCTTGCATTTTTTTGAACTAAAACAGAGACTAGCTAGACGACGGAGTTAAAAAAAAAAAATCCTAATTACCAGCTACTTAATTGTTTTTAGAGTTTTTGACAGACAGTTGGGCTTTGACCTTCATCTTTGAACGGGCTGGCTACTCCTTGCATGCACTGATGAGGTCAGGGCGGCGGCTCAATAGTGGCTGCGCCGCCAGCCAGGGAAGAGGCGGCGCCATTTGCTTCACCATCCCTGTGCAGGTACCCATTCACCGGCGGCACCGGAAACCCGAAGTAGGAAGCATGGTGGTGCCCCGGCAACGGGTACGGCGGCGGCTGCAGGAACGGCTGGAAGCCGGCGGCGGCCGCCGAGTCGACCATGCCCCGCTTCATGACCTGGAGCGGGTCCCCCCGGAGCGATCCCCGCTCGCCGCCGTCGTAGTCGCGGTAGCGCTGGAGGTAGAGGGTGAGCGGCTCGATGTAGTCGTCGAAGCCGAGCTTGCTCATGGCCCACAGGACGTCCTCGGCGGTGATGGTCTTGCGCTGCTCCCGCTGGCACCGCTCGTTGGCCTCGCCGGTGATGAAGCTGATGTACTCCGACACGCACTCCTGGATCGTCTCCTTCGCGTCGTCCGATATCTTCGCGTGCTGCGGGAGGATCTTGCGCATGATTCTGATCACGTTCGCGATCGGCATGAACCGGTCCTGCTCCCGGACGGTGCATTCTCCGTCGTCGGGAAACAAAGAGTTGTTGCCGGAGCCGCCGTGGTTCATCTCGACAGCTGGCGCTCTCATGTCTGTGCATGCAATAGATATTTAAAATACACCATGACTCCATTTATAAATAAATAAATAGAAAGTGTAAAAGCGAGTAAGTATGTTGGCTAAAATACAACTCTTAAATGAATCAAATGAATCAAATCAGTATTATAATTATATTTCATGTTTCATCTTGCGGTCATAAAATCTTACACAACGAACAAAATTCCATGTATAAAGTCACTGTACCTTGTATAGTGATCACATGAATAAAAATAAGATGAAGTGCACTTTAGGCATGGAATTCCACATAGGTTTTTTTGGTCGGAAAATTGGATAAAATTGCAAATTGAAACATATATTATAGCTAAAGTAATACTTTGATTCTTTTAAGAGTTAAGGTACCAAAATACAATAATATCAATAGTTAAGGTATCATTTATGCATTTCACCCAAGTATGTGTTTATTTTATTCTCCAAATATGAATTATTTAAACCTATTAAAAGAAAAAATTAAGTAAAGTTTACCAACTAAGAATGAATGACAACAATGATAGTCCTATTTATATATGAAGTTTACCATTATTTTAATCTTATTTAGAAAATTTTCTCTTAATCTTATTTGTGTTGAGAATGTGTTCCAACTCTCAGTGGTCGCCTATTCACTCTTCCTTATGAAGATCCAGAATTCAATACTGAATGGCATGAGTTTGATCTCAATTTACCTCATGCCCTCATCGCCTTCCCCGACTCCAGAGTAAAAAAAAGTCACATGATTTGTGCATGCATGTATATATCCATTTTTAATCTGGCCTGGTGATTTTGTTTGTTTACAAATGTAGTCGTTTTTTTGTTGGAAATATATTTTTTCTATATAACCGTCTTTAATTTAGATGAACTAGTAGATGCCTACATGACTACATGCATCTAACTTAATCTTATGGCAAAAGATTAGTTTGTGAGTTTACAGTAAATTAGGTGCGGATAATTATGGAAGAGGAAAAGGAAAGAAGAACTGCCGGAAATTAATTTGATGGTTCAGCATCCAAAAGACGCTAATGATATGAATTTTTTCAAATACCCATACTCTGAAACACAATTTTCTAGAATCTGACGAATTGTTTAATGCTGCGTATTCCGATGACTTCTGGTTTAGCAACTAAATAAATACGCATGCTTAAAATTAAACCATGCATTCAGAATTTATTTTTATTAATGCAATGCATACTTCCCCACTTCCCAGAGTTTATGGCTTTAGGGTTTAACAAGTAGAAACACGGCACGTATGGGTATAAGTGTATGGAATTTTAATTAGATCAAATTTTAATGACTGGCTATTAGGTACTCGTAATCCGTATTTCACATTATTACAATTGACTGGTCAATGTTCTTTCAAGCTATTACCAACAGATATGATGTTAATAGAATAATAGCTTAGAATTTTAATTATACAATCAAATGTACTTATAATCTACTCCGTATAATCTTATACTTCGTATATGAGTTGAATTTAAAACAAGTGCTCCTTCGTTTCTAAATAAACTTTCAGTTTTTATTTTTCTTTCGTTCCAAAATAGTCTTACACTTTTTTTTGGAAAAAAATATGTGACTCACAAAATTTCTTACACATTTTTTCACATTTTCTCTCTTCTGCGCAATTCTGCACTACACAATACGTATTCATATACTTTAAATGATAATATAGGGACGGAGGTAGTAATAATAATTAGTCACTTCATCCCGTTAAAAGGTTTCCACTATCCTTATTTGGGTATTCAATCTTAGAAAACAACTAGATTATCACCCGCGCGATGCGCGGATGAATATTTACCAATTTGTGATTAAGAAGTCTATTAGTAAAACGCAAAAAGAATTGAACACAAAATAAAGCAGTCCATAATACATTAAATGTTTGTAGTTAAAGAGAGATTGAGACAGAGACGAAGACGGGCCAACATAATATTTTTTTTGCAAAGACAAATGTATCCAATAAAAAAGAGATATAGCATTTGAAAGTACGAAGTGGTAAGTAAATTGTAGAAGTTGCAACTTAAAGTGATACTACAAATTCTGAAAAACTTCTTTGTAAACAACATTAGTAGTATGGTCGATCTGTTTGGAAAAAAATATGTGACTCACAAAATTTCTTACACATTTTTTCACATTTTCTCTCTTCTGCGCAATTCTGCACTACACAATACGTATTCATATACTTTAAATGATAATATAGGGACGGAGGTAGTAATAATAATTAGTCACTTCATCCCGTTAAAAGGTTTCCACTATCCTTATTTGGGTATTCAATCTTAGAAAACAATTTCCTTCAATTCTCCCCCAACTTATATCTCTTTAATTACTTTGAATTTATATATTTATTTTTTCATTCTTTTTTATTCAAAAAAAAAGATGACATCCCATCCCTGAGGGCCCCCCAACACCAACCGGACGGCACGATGGGAGGATGTAAATTGGACTATAATCATAATCTGACAGATAGAGAGTGGGCCTCCGTCCCCGGTACTTGCAGAGGCCCTGTGCATTTTTAGCTAGTATAGTAACCTCTCATCGCAGTTGCCGGAATTCGAACCCGGGACCTAACCCTTGGAGCACTTCCTCGCTACCAGTTGAGCTACGTTCACCGGTCGTTCTTTTTTATTCAAATTAATATTTTTATCACTTGCCTAAATAATCGTGTCATTACTCATGGGAACCTCGGAATGAGACGGGGAGTAATAATTACTCTCTCCGTCCCGAAAAGGTTGGTCAAATTACATTTTTTAGATGTCCCAAAAGATTTGTCATTTCCATTTAAAGTAAGTAATATGTGATTAAAGTTAATTCTATCTCCTCTGCAAAAATTTCAATCATAAAGTTTTAATTCATGAGTAAGTAATTTTGAAGATAAGCGGGTGGGTGGTGGAGTGCGCATGAGAGACATGTGGTGGGGCAGGATTAGACATGAGATCTCGTGGGGCCCATCATTGCATGCATGCCACTTGTATTTCTAACGTTTGAAAACAACTCTTTATCACTGTTTATTTCTAAAAACCGTCCGTCACTACCTCTAAGCTCCCAACATTAAACTAATTAAAGTATGTAACGTATGAAATAATTAATGAAGCTTCCCCTATACTATTTCGTCTGCCGAACGCTCCACGCCTCCACATACATCATCGTTTCACTTTCTCTATATATGTCGTAATAATATACTATCGTATAAAATATTTGTAACCTACAAATGAAGATTTTGGGCCGGCTAGATGCTTTGCTATTGTTGGAGTTGCATTTGCTTGATTGGCTTTGACTTATTAATGTACTACCTATGTCCCTTAAAACTTTGGTGTGTTTTACCGGCACGGAAATAATAAAGTAAAAATTGTGTGGTTGATGTTTGTGTAGAAAAGAGAAAAATGACATGAAACACAAAATAATTAATTAAAAGAAAAAGTGGCAAAAATTTTGGGACGTCCCAAAAAGGAAAGATGTCAAAGTTTTAAGGGAGGAAGGAGTATATATTATGGAAGCCCTTGGGAGTACATTATGTTGTACTTTGAACTCTAGCTAGTCATTAAAACTTTGTAATTTTTTTAATTAAGGAAGTTAAAACTTGACAAATAATATATTTTTATAGATATTATTCATAATATAGGAATGGTACGTAGGCAAATGGTGTTTGTAAAAATAATAATTTGATAAAATTTACAACTTTCATGAAATTATGCTACCTACGTTCCCGTCTAAACTTCCCGGTTTCAATAGCACACGTTTTAGTAAAATGGTCCCTCCGATGTCAGAAATGCTTTTTATTGTATAGTACATTGTTCAACACTGTTTGACACTGCCATGTCTTGATTACTTAATGATTTTAGAGTAAATTGATAGAAATTTCTTTATCAACCATATGAGGAAGGAATCTTTGTCTAGGTACATGAATAAAAGAAAATGAGAAACTCTTTAAGGGACAAAGGTAATACGGAGTACTAATGAAACTCATTATTCAAAGTTTACTCTTATTATTGATTTAGGCGAAGCCAAAAGGGCCAAAGGGGTCAAGAGTAATCATGAGCTTATAATTAATACTTTAATTGACATAGTTCTGAAATGCAGGAGAGAAAATAGAGCAATGAAGCTAAACTCAGAAAGATTAAATGGTATTTTCTCTGTATTAAAAATATATATAGAATACCAAGCATATAAATGTATAATAACATTATTCAACACAGAAACAACTAAGTTTGATAAAAACATATATATACCGGAGGTTGGGTGAGGGAGGCGGGTTCGGTAGCTATGGAAACCTCCATTTCCTCTTCCATCTCCTCCTCCCTGCAGATTCATCTCTCTACTCTTTCACTAAGTTATGGATAAGTAATTTATGGAAGTAAATTAATTGAAAGGGCTATATACATAATTACATAGATAATTGATTATTATAATAATAAAGAGGCCAGGCCACGTAAATTAAAGAAAGAGAAAGAGGGGTTGAAGTCCACGTGGAAGGAGAGAGATACATTGGGCTGCACCAAATGGGCTTCTTAGTTGGTCAGATATCACAATTCACAAGTTGGAGCATTCACAGGCATGCACCCTACCCTACCCCTCCTAGCTAATGCATGCTTTTCATTTCCTTTTATTTCTTTTGTTTTTTTTTTTCATCAATTCGCTCGTCTTTCGGTGGAAAATATGGAATTATACAATTGCAATTCTTCATTCTCTTTCTATTGTAGAAATTGAATTAGGAAGTTTTTTCAAGAAAAAATAATGTATATTTTTTTCACTAAATTGATTTGATACTTCATGTGTATTTTTTTTTTGTGTACTGGTGTTGACACATTTATTACCAGTGAAATAGTAGGAGTAATGAATAGTTTAGAAAAACAGGAGAGATGGTGGAAAAGTATGAAAGGGAAGATAAAAAGTAAATACAGTAAAGGTAATTCAGTATTTTTAAAGGAAAACTTATCAAAAAGAGAAAGTGTAACAAACATTAAAATAAGGAGGGAATATAATTTTTAATTATATATATATATATATATATATATATATATTACAGTTTTTTCCCCAAAAAATACCATTAAAATAAAACTTATTTACACACATATGACTAAATTAAGAATGATATAGAATCACACAAAACTTATCAAATTTGGTATGAGACAATTTTAGTGGGACAGACCAAAAAGAAAAGATGAGACAATTTTAGCAAGACGGAGAGAGTATAATATTTAATAACGATACGGTCTGATTTTCCATTTCATGGTTCGAAACTTCGAATTGAAACATTAGTGGTAGGTTAATTAGTTTATGATTTACAAATTAATTATTGATTGGCACTTGTCAATAAAAATTAAAAGTATGCATTAGAAGTGGTCCTTTTCAGGTTTATAGTTCCAACCTATTGCTCTTCAATGCAAATTCCACTTCCAATGCGGAAGAGTTTTGACTAAGGATGTTTTCTTTTAAACTGAAATTTGTTGGTCTAGTCTGATCTGGTCAAGTCTGTTTAAGTTTGGTCTGATTTGATCTAGTCTGGTAAACGTCTGGTCTCTGTGTATTTTATAACTATGGAAATCTGGTCTGGTCTGGTCTGATTTGTTCAAGTCTGGTCTGGTCTGGTCTGGTCTGTTTAAGTCTGGTCTGGTCTGATCTGGGACTGAAAACAGTCTAAAATAAAACATCCTAACTCCTATGTTTTTACACTGGTTTTAATTATGTACCACATCAGATCAAACTTAAACAAATGAGATCAAATCATATCAAATTACTCTTACACAAGTCGAACAAGATCAGATCACACTTTTACAGTTGTAAATTCCACATAAACCAAACATCTACCAAAATAAACCAATTCAAACCAGACTCAATTAGGCTGAATCAGCTCAAGAAATTTAAGCTCCGGTAAAAACATTCTAAATTCTATTTACTCAATCACTATGCATGCTAAGGATGTTTTCTTTTGGACTGTTTTCAGTACCAGACCAGACCAGACCAGCCCAGAAGCTTCACTAGTCACATTATACCCGACCGGGTAAATGATTTACCCGATCGGGTAAAAGACAAATCTTTGCCAAATCTTCACCATGCACGTTAAATTGCAAGTCAATACCCGATCGGGTATATGCTTTACCCGACCGGGTAAATGACTATTTTTCCAAATTTCCACTTTATCTTGTTCTCTTGCACTTTCCTTGACCTTTGTAAGGATCCTCTTGATGATCTTTGTCTAGTTAAAGCTCAGAATAATCCTAATCTAAAAAAATTACAAACAAATAGGAAAAATAAAGTATTACACCAAAAGTGTGTAATTTCCCAAACAACAAATAAAACTAGTCAAAATTACAAACATAAATAATAACAATTCTATACTATCAAATGGACCCTAAAAAAATCGAGGAAAATGCAAAAGTACAAGACAAAATGATGATTTGGAAATTGTTCATATACCCGCTCCGGTATATATAAGACCCAATCGGGTATTGCCCGGATTCAGGTGTCAAAGTAAAATCCAAAAACAAAGTAACATGCAGGGATATTATTGAAGATTTAATTGATATCCGATCGGGTTGATCGACATACCCGAACGGGTATGACTTGAAATGCCACCTTCCAGACTACTGCCTCAGATACATACCCGGTCGGGTGCCCTATATTTCCGGTCGGGTACATCTCTCTACGACTCTAAACCCCTCCAAAAGCACCTCTTTCCTTCCCATTTAAGACATACTTTTTTTCGTACACTTAAGCTCATTTTAGAGTAGTGTTTTGACTGTTTTCTTTATATTTATTTCATATTTAGTCTCCAAATGAGGACCTAAACTCTTTTATCTTGCATTTTGCTCTTAAAGCTTGTTGAATGTTAAAGTTGTGATTGTTTTCTTAATGTTTTGACATTAACTACTACTAGAAATGATCAATGAATCAATGATTAATCATTGATGGTTTCACAAATAATTAAGTAACTTCGATTTATTACTTTATGGTATCGTGGTTAGTAATCGTAAGAGCGATTAATTGTATTGGTTAAACCGAAACCGTTATGTTGAGGTTATCGATCTCAATTGATTTTTATCAAGGAGTTAAGAGATTAAATGCTACTATCAAGTCGATATATGACAGTTATATATACTTGGAAATAGTAATAGTTGTTAATGAGCGGTCTCGTTATTAATAATTAACTACCCTAGTTAAATTGAGATACTCCATGATTGAGTGTTCGAGATGAACTATTGATATAACCAGGATCAACAAACATTTCAACAAGTGGAAAGTAGCAAAGTCAAGTGTTTTATTTCATTGATTTACGTACATCATATTAGTCGTTCATGTTCATCTTAGTATTTAATTATTTTCAAGTCAAACAATCTGAACCCCCCCCCATTGTTACAATCTCATCAAGAAGAAATATATATTTCCGTGTGAATACGAACCTTATGTCACTAATAATTTGTATAAGTGCTAGTATTGATTTTATTTTGAGTCACACAATGAATTTAATGGTGTCACATGCAAAAGATAATATTATTCTAATATGATTGTAGAAGGCCATGTAAGTTAGATTGTTTGAGATTGTTTCTAAAAATAATTGTGTGGCAATAATTTAAAGGTAAGAATTAAAAAAATGATTATATGGGAAGCATGAATAATGATTCCTTAAGCCATTTTTTTACTTTTAAGATTGATTTTGGCTGTTAGAGAGTGCCAAACTGCTATTTTTAATTTTTAACAAACGTTATTAATTTCTTCGATGTTCTAAAATAATTTCTCTCTCTAGGGTTTGTTGCCGCTAGAGCTTTGTTTTCTCCGCTATCGTATGTTCGAGGAGCGGCCGCCGAGTATTTGGTGGGCTTTTGGTTGATAGGAACGTAGGTTTTGAGTGAGGTGAAGGCTGTGGCAGTCTTCTTTGACGGCTGGAATGACGGTCTCTGAAGGACGATCTTCAGCAGACGGAAGCCGGATTCTGAGAAGCAGTGGTGAAATCTTTCGATGGAAGATATAGTTAATCGATACAAACAGATGGCTATTGGTGAGGACAAGGAGGAGTTAGTTTTCGATGGTGAGGAAGATGGAGAGCAGACGAGGAGCGAAGGGAAGGTGATTTTCCCGATGGTTGGTATGGTTCTTACAGACCGGAAGATCAAATTTCAGTTTTTCAAGGAGTTGATGGCATCTTTGTGGAAACTAGTTAAAGGTGTATCCATAAAAGAAATTGATGAAAAGAAGTACATCTTTACTTTTTACCATATTTTAAAAATGAGACGTGTTCTAGATGAAGGTCTGTGGTTGTTTGAAAGGAACATATTACTTCAAAAAGAAATTAAGGCGGAGGATATTCCTCTACAGATTAATCTTCATGAGGCTGAATTTTGGGTTCAAGTTCACAATGTGGCGTATGGTTTTATGAACTTAGGCTTTGCTAGGCGAATTGGCAATTGTATTGGAAATTTTATTAGTTTTGATGAAAAATGGGAGACCTATATGCGAATTTGGGAGCTGACTACCAATCTTTAGGAGCTGGCTGCCGAAATAGTCTTTCTGTTTGTTTAGTTAAAGTATAGCAATGAACTTTACTCTAACCACTTAACTGACTTTAGAACTAGTCTAACACAAGAGTATGAAGGATTTAGACCAATGGAGATAGGTCACTTTGAAGAACAAATAACAAGTGAGCAAGCTGTTTTACTTGTGAACTAGAAAAGTTCATTGGACAGTTTAAGTGAGCAAGCTGTTTTACTTGTGCCGTTGTGAAGGTGAGTAAGAACTGAAATAAGTGTTAGGTGCAGAATGTAAAGATGACACACGGTATATCCTGTTTCAAGGGTGGTGTAATCCCCCTACATTCAGTCCCAACCTATTTCAAATGGATTTTCACTAAATGTATATCCCATTACATTTAGTACCAAATCTATCCTTGGCCCAGGCGTAGATTGTGAGGTTTTTCACAAGGAACTTGAACACCGTTCCAAGCTACTCATGTCCTTCCAAGGTTTTTTTACTAATGACATTGACTCGCCAAGAGTTACTCATATCCTTACCTTTTCTCACCCTTGGATTTGATCACCAAGCCCTCCAGAATGTCTAACACTAGTCTAGATTACATGGGTGTAAAATCTAAACTACCAACTAGTCTAAGCTCTATTGATTTGTATGAATTGTAACTAGTCTAAGAGCATTAGACGAGTGAGGTGGCGGCCTAAGTGTAGAAGGGAAATCAGATGGCTGGATTTGAACGTATAGAGTGTGATTTCCTTCTATCCACTTGGCTCCTTTGTTTTTCCACTTGTTCACCACTTTGTGTGAACGACCACCTCGTTGTTTACCACACCCGGTAATCCCGCACTCCTTCTGTATTTATAAATTTGATCACTTTATCTTCACCGTTGGCTGAAAAAATGAATCTTGACCGTAGCTTGATCTACTTGCTTTGTTCCACTTGACTGAGGCAACATGGTTATCTCTTGTCACTTAGTGACACAGATCAACAATCTTCAGCTCAACTTGATTACACATTTCAATGCAAGATAAAAGATAATTTATCTTTTATTTTCCTACGTAGAAACTAGTATAAAGCTGAGTGATATTTCAATGCTACCTTACAACGAATGAACACTTGATTTTGTAAAATAAATTTATAAGAAATTTATAATGTGATAAAAATCTCTTATAAATTTACTTTTTAATAATTTATTCTTTTGTATGCAAGTTGGTCTTTTGTATAAGTGTTTTGTGCCAAGAGAAGAGAG